CATTTAACAAATTCTTACCTAAAAACGGCAATCAGCAAATTCAGGAGAAGAATATTGATAAATAACATATGAAAAGCAAGAAGAACATGAGTAGCTGTGGCTTCAGCAACAGCTGTACTGCTACCATTAGTAATTAAATCTATATTCAAAAAAGTCTCTTTTGCTGTGAGAAATCGAGTTGCAACTTACCATCAAGCTTATTTGTGTCTGAAACTTGGCCATACATGAACCAATAGGGTGGATAGAAAATATCTCCAAAAATGCTTTTTCCATCGAAAGAAACTTCGTTATACATGAAGAGCGATCGCGATACTACTCCGTAGGCAGCAATGGCCACGAATATAATGTATAAGAAGGCGAAAAGGTCTTGCAACTAAAATAAAAATGATTGATGATGTATTTCGCCTATCCGAATGAAAAATGACCATATTTTTTAGCATGAAAAGCTTAGGACCGAGAGATTTTATTGCGATGATGAATTTCAACGATTGTAAATACCAAATCTCAAGATCAAGAGCTAAAATGATCCTTTAAAAAAAAGAAAAAAATATACCAATATCATTCGTGAACAACATTTAACAGACCTGGCTACAGTAAAAATACGCTCGTTATTTCCAGAACCGAAACGAAAACCGATGCCTATGTAGAATAACACGTAGGGCAAAATGTAAAATAGACCCGCCATTATGGTAAGAATATTGAATCCTGTATAACTCTGACGTTCAGTCATCTTGCACACATAGTTATGCCTTGACTGGAAAAGACACTCAAACAGATTGAAAGCAGTCATGTTTGAATTTTTACCTGGCGCAATTCTTCGCAAAGCATCGTTGAAATAGTGATTATGGTGTAGATTTCTGTCCAATGCGGTGGGCTAACTGTCAGAGGATCAAAACTATAAAGCATCATGTAACTGAAAACCAGTAAAAACCAAATGTAGAAAAACTAGAATGAATAGGTCATATTTTATCATGAGTAGAAAAAAAAACGAACATAATTGTGAATAAAAAGCTTACAAAATGATAACCCATTTTCACCATTGGACTCGTATGAAAATAGATCCATCGATCAATCAAGCCTACACTGGTGAAACGTTTCTTTGGTAGCTCTTTCTCTATGTAGTAATTGATGCCCTTTTTCGATAACCTGAAAATGCACAGTAAAAAAAATCATGATTATAGATTGATTTGATTACATACTTGAATTCAATATTTGCTTCCTGAAACGAAGAACTTAAAAATTGGTGATTTTATTCGAAATTACATACGAACCGGTATGATTCGATCTTGTTTTTGCTGATATTCAATGCAAAATGGAGCAGGCAAACCTACTAGAAGAATTGATAGAAGTAAAAACGGCTTTGTCGCTGCATGGCTGTTCGATGTGGCTAGCTTGTCGTACCAAACACGGTTGAGAGCTTCATGGAAACATGCTGTTTCTAGCACATGCATGCTTTCACTTGAAATGGCGACCTATGTCATATTGATAAGATGCTTCTGTGAAATGGTAATGGAAATCGGGCGATTGTAATTAAACAGTAATTCTAGAATAGTCATTTATAGCTATCAATATATCACAGTAATTGAATTTCCCTATTTCTAACTAAGAAGATTTTTTAGATCGAATGAATGAACGAAAAATAGAAACGGTAACAATGCATAACTAGTTTATTCAACTTCACGAAGTCAAAACTTGATTTACGTTGGGTAACATGAATATCGTGTTGATTAACATTCAATCTATTCGAATTCAAGTAATAATGGTATGTTTTTCGTGAACGAGAGTGTATTTTCCAACTGATATCGATCTTAGTTAGAGCAAATGAGGAACTTCGCTCTCCAAAAATCGATCGTTGCTCTTCAGTTTATTTAGCTTCGACAAAATAGAACAGAATGCTCTAAAAACTAAACAATGTGAATAATTAATTAAATTTTATTCAAAAACTTTCTACACGTTTCAAGATTAATTGAAACAGCTATCCACCTAAATTGATATGTCAATTAAAAGATTTTTCATGGTTTTTTTACTCTCCTCTGTATTTGAGGATGAGGATGGATATGGCTCTTTTTTTTACCCTCACCAACCCGAAATTTATTGAACACATATATCAAAATATGAGTTACTCTTATACGAGATTTGTTGCAAAATATTTCGATGGTCTTTTCCGAATAAAAATAGCCTATTTTATAGCACGTTCTTAGTTCTATCGAATATTATACGTTTAAAACCAATTAATACAGGAACAAAAATTGAAACCATATCAGAAGTTGGTTGTTCATGTTTCGCAGAGAGCAGAGCACAAAGTACTACTAAACGGCGAAAAGAGAAACTTTATGTCGTTGATTTCTAATGTGAAAATGGAGAACCAGGAGAAAACATATGATGGTTAAAATATTTTCTTTTGAGAGTTGATTTGTCACTATTTCTGCTCGAGTAATCTTTTTTAACAGTTACTGGAAGGATAACTCACTTGCATACAGGTTACATTGCCAAATAGTGGTATTTGTCGTAGGAGTAGATCACACGCTGTCAGCTCATTGTGTGTGAAGCACTTGTCGATGCATATCGCTGCGTATTGTTCAAAATTGTTTGCATGCACCAATATTTGCCTTGTCAAATCAATGTTGGTTGCTATTTTTGCATACTTTTTCAATATGGCCGATGCCAGCAGAGAAGCACATATTCGTGATCGAAGACGAGCGAGTAGAACTTGAGCTATTTCAATTCGATTCATAAATACAGCCCAGAAGAAAAGATCACGTAGCATTTCTTGCTCTGAATAGTCGTCACTAAATATAAGGCAAGGCTGTAGACTTGATAAAGTCGGAAAAATAGTTAGTCTTGTTAAAAAAAAATGTCGGTTTTTACTTACCCCATCAGTTCATGATTTCGATTTAAGTAGATCGAATGAACAAATGAACCAACGAATGTTGCCAGTTTATCATCGAGTTGAGTTATACTTTCGAGGTTTTCGGCAGCAAACAGAGAACAAACACTACTCGATTGCATCTGTTGATTTGATTAAAATGAAAAGAAATCGTTTCAAGACAAAGAAACAGCAGAATTGCAAGTCAATACTCGATTTTTGGGTTGCAATCTTGAGTTATATAACTTTACAATGTATTCATGACATTTGTTGGTCAATGATTTGGAATCACCGGATAGTTTCCATACATGTCGGCTATCAAAACCGGCACGAAGAAAGTAGTCAATGAATGTTGATCGATTTTGTTTCAGCGCATGGTCAAACAATAATTTCACATCGGCGACATTCTAAATAATCTCCATCGATATTCTTAGAAAAAGACTCGTCTAGATGATAGTTGTCTCATCAAGTAATGACGATGGAAACATGAAAAACTCTAGACAATATGTATTCATTGTTTTTTTGTCTTCAATCTGTATCTCATTGATTGACGGCCAACTTGCTCATAAAGAGATTTCATTATCAATATAGACTTCGAAAATTCTCAGCTCAAAAATGCATGTTTGTCTTTTCATCAGCAAAATGCAGGCTAAGAATTCGTCCATCGAACATTATGGCCGTTCATCAGTACCACTAGAAAAGCCAGTCGAACAGATATAGCTTTAGAACAAAGTTTTACAGTCAATCGATTGTTTTTTTTTAGATGCTATGATCCCTCCTTGATGTGAAAGATCTCATTCGCAATAGTTCTTATCAGAGTTGAGAAACAAGTTTCATCTCATACCAGCTTTTGGAAACCCACAAGTTGTTTTGCGCCATCTAAGAAATTCCAACGGAGTGCTAAATCTGCCAATTTATAGTCTTCTTTCTGCTCTTGTTGTTTTTCATCGTTTAATTGTGCTCCAGAAACAGATGGTCGTCTATCCGTTCGCTCTTTTTTCTTTTGTTCTCTCCTTGTACTAATAGCTATTGAGATTTAATTCTAAATTCCAATTAGTTAACAAAAACAAATTATTCAAACCTGTAAATATTGCCTTAAATATAGTTTCAGCAACATTGACATCCCGATCGAGACGAAATACATGGAGCAGATGACGTTCTTCCGATTTTAATAAGTTTTTAAGTTCTCTGATCGATGTTAATAACTTATGTTTTGGGAATCCCACGAAGCTAGCTTCGAGCACCTTTCGAATTTCATCGTCTGTAAGCTCTCTAAAAAGTTGCATAGAAGATTTTTTTTAAAGCATCGAATCCTACCGAGATATTGTCCAGATTGGATATGGAAAAGTAAATCAAGGAACTTATTTATTGTAATGCTTTCATGATTTCAATTTTAGTCCATAGAAAAATGAGTCACTGGATTAGGATGGCCAGAAGAGAATATGAGCTTATCTACTGCTACGATCGAATTACACAGAACAAAGTTTCAGAATCAGTTTTGATCTACCTTGCCTCACAAGACGATGGAAAACTGAAAATGAGACCATATTTACTTTAACTATTTAAAATTTTACATCGGTTACAATGCATCTATCACTAGCATATCACATTTCAATTATTTTTTAATAATGTATTTCATTATCAGTTCTTATTTACATTCGATTTTTCAAAAAAACAAGTGAATTAGACCCACAAATGATCTCACCTGTGGGAAAAATCATGGACTATCTTACGATTAAAAGAGGTTTGATCCAACAACATTGATCTCTAGGAATTTTCCTGGTAGATTAGCTGAAATCGATCTTTTAACAGTGGATACTTCGATAAAAAGAAAATGACTTGAAGATATAAGATTCGATGCAAATTGCTGCACTGTGGTATGGATCATTTTCTAGATACGAACCGTTGTTTATTTTGATCAAAATTAGTCGTCAATTCGATCAAATTCGACAGAACATCAGCCATACGTCCACTACCCTGTAAATAAGTCCAATTTAATTAAAATATCATTAGAATTTACTGCTTTTCCAACTCACATGAATAATAACAACTGGCCGACCGTTATCAATATCGAATTGTACTACTTGGGGTGTTCTAATTCCACCCTCAACAACGATCGTCACAGCATAGCCTGTTAGAGTTCAATTAATCTTTGTTGAAAATTCATATTATCGAAAATGCCTCCTTTACATGCATGACTATTTTTATCGTCACAAACGTGCTGGACAAAGCTACTTCGTTGAAAATCACTGAGATATCCACTGAGACTTCCACTATCGAATAGAATGCAATGGGTATGATGTGGATCGAGTGTTTCTTTGTCTTCTTGTACATCATCCCGAATCTGCCATTTGCATGCTTCATCTGATGAACCAGTCTTGAACAAAAAAGATCATTTTATATTTTACTGGATATTTACCCTGTACCTGACTAGCTTTCTTTAAATCAATTCGAGTTTTCTCATTAATACTACCCCACATTGTTAAACCGATACAAACAACATCTTTGGGATGTCGTCTCAATAGTCGATACTGGGATATACCTTCGCCGACAAGTTTCGATACTCCATTATTAAGGCCGGTTGTTAAAATCCATGCATCTGATTATGAATAACGAAAAAAATAGAAAAGGCAAAAGTTTAGAAAATAACAGATAAACATGCCTGCGATAGTGGCCACATCCACAATGCCTCGCATGAATTCCTTTTCGAGTCGTTCGGTTAACACGAAATATTTTGCACCACCATAAACGCTAATGATTATTGATGGTTTTTTTCCGCCACAATCGCCCAATATCAAAGGATAAAGTATTGCGGCAGTTGTCTGATTGGAGCATCTTATAAACTTGCAACCATTCCCCAAAATCCCATAGTGTTTCAGTAGAGTTTGACAGGTATATTTCGGGCCATCGACAAATGCAAATGTAGCAGGTGTATTATCAGTTATTACGCAGGTACCATCGTTGCTGTGTCGTCTAATGAGACGACCACAAGGACATGTATCATTCCGATTCTGTGAACGTGACTCTCGGTTGTATATTTTACAAGTTTTACCCTTGATTTTGTTTTTATCTTTCGCGTCAATAGCTGCAACTGCCTTGACCTGATTCAGCCATGTCAACTGAGATTGTGTTTTTTTATATTTTTCAAGAGGAATCGATACACCGGATCCTTTTCGCATTTTTGTCTTTTGTATGTCAATAATTAAAAGATTTTATCTACAACTGAAAATAATTTCAATAAGCCTTTTTTCTTTCATAAAAAAATTGATTCGATAGATTTTAATTATCGGTAAATCGAATTGTATTTTCAAACTGTTTTGCGGAGAATTTATCAAAAAAATGTCAAATCAATGCAACCATTTTCATGCTTTTTTTTTTCCTCATTACTCTGGTTTTCAGCTAAGCTTTAGAAATTTTGTGCTCGCATGTGTTTAACCATTTTCAAAGAAAAATTGTATTGTTAGAACAAAACTAGTCAATACATTCTGTACCAAATTAGCATAGCATTTTGAATTTTGACTATTTTTACCTAATCACATTTTAGTTATTATATATTGGCAAGATGTATTCCTCGTATTTCTGCCCTATTGAGATCACGTATTGTGACACTGTTTCGATACTCGAGAAGCACTCAGAAAATTGTTCTATATCTGCAGACAGTTGATCGAGTGATAATGGCATCAAGTGTAGAAATTGTTTTCCTTGTTACTCTTGAGAAATCAACAGTATTTTTCATTCGGGGTTGAAAAAACGAAGTTTTTTTGTTTTTCCTGTTTCTAAATGAAAGCTAAAGGATGATCTGCTCAGCTATCTGATAGGCTTCAAGTATGACTTCAACGATTAGTAAAAGTATCGAGTAGATTTTCTACCAACTACTCAGGCTATTCGAAACTCATCTGGCAATATATTCCCATATCATTTTCGTTGAATCTCTTGTTCATGTGGTGGCGATCGAATGATCATCTCTTGATAACGCTTCAGTTTTACTCATAAAAAGAAATGGTAGCTTTTTAAATCTGGTTTTTTGAATAAAGGACTTGAAAAACCGTTCTTAAGACCATGCATCGAGTTCACATGCTCTTATTTTTATTTAATTTACAGTCCTTCGTAAAATGAAACAAACAATTTTGTGCACTGGGTGTGGGTGTGGGTTGGGTTTGGGTGTGTGGTGGTGTGGGCCTGTGTGAACCTTTACTCTTCGTGTCTACACCCACACACCCGCACCCCGGCCGGTCGCCGGTAGACCAGTCAATTACACTGTAGATCAGCCGGTCACCAGTCGACCACTCGTTTCCAATATACCGGTCATCATCGATCTACCTTATTTACTTTTGTGTTTTTATTATCTCATAAATAATGCTAGTGAACTTTTATTGATGGTCCGCTATGTAAAGCATTATTATTCAGATCTGGAATCGCCATCTACAAGCAGTCGGTACTAATTTAAGATTGGTCGATCTTCCCGTAGACCAGTCATTACTGATAGACCAGCCGATTCGGTCCGATCGGACCTTTTCAGACCGGTGCCGGTAACGGTCGTCAAAAATCTAGACTGGTTCCATCTCTGACCTATTCATATTTTATATTGCTATTTTCTTTTTGCCTTTTCTACGAAAGAACACAATAAGAAATTTTGCAGTAAAAATTTAGTATTCGACTTCATCTGATGCATCAGTGTCCTTTCGTGTCTAGTAGCAATTCCCACAATATTGCTTGCAAGCTTCTGCTAAATAGACGTATCAAATGCTATATTCATAGAAAATTCAAAACTACGCATATAATACGACAGACCTTAGTACTTCACTATTTTACAATAACGCGTTCTTCTGAAATAAATTGTAGAATAAAATCATGATCGTATGAGTAATTTTTCTCACTTACAACAGGTGCAACAGGTTAAAAACCAACTCAAATGAGTTCTTTTTCTCCTTTCTTTCTTCTTCGTCTTTTTTCCTCTGCTTTTGCTTCTTTCTTTCTCTTTCTTATTTTCCTTCGTATTGTTTTTCTTTTCTTCCATTTTTCTTCTACAACCCAGCAAATCAATATCAGTACTCGTCATAAGCATATTAACTAGCAGGAGCTAAATTTCGACCATATATGATATTTATTTCAACCAGAGCTATCTTTTTCTTCTCTCTCTTCTAAATGTGTATTATTTTAAAAATTTGTTGAATAAAACATTATACGTTATTTAGCCTTGTTTCATAGGTAAATAAGTATATCCATCTTTCTCTTTTCGTTAAGAATAACTATACTGCTCTTTTGCATGTTCTTTTACTTCTCATGTTTGCTCATAGCACTGTTCTGAATTATTATCTCGTCCTTACTTTTTGCAAGTTCTGCATGTTTATTTGACTTTGTTATCTGATTACTGTTACTTTTAGATAGCGAAGCAAATGGCGACAAACTCTAGTCTCAATTCTGCTTATCCTTTGACAAAGTCTGGAAGAATCTTCCAGGATCCGGAATCCCAAGGATCTTGTCAAGTTTTATTCAGGATCCTGGGTGTGGGTGTGGGTGTTGATGTAGGTGTGTGGAAGTGTATCTCTTCTCTCACATACCCACTCACACCCACACCCTCGGCTTTAAAGAAAATGTTTTGGTTGCGATACAAATATTAAAAACGTCTACTGTAGTACACGCTCACATTGCATATCAATCTGACATTGTCATCAAACAAGGCCTTGCCAATTTCTAAAGCTGCTGTTTTTTTTCCATATTCAGCATGCACTTGTCGACATTGGATCTGAGGCTAGAGTAAAATATAAATGCGGGACTCTAATGCCAGAGAAAAATGTTTGTTTCAGGATAGTCATGATGGTTATACAAGCAATTGATGCAGTAATAGTCTTGCAATGCTTACATGAGCTTAGCATGGATATGATCATCTATTTGGATTCTATTCAAAAAGAAACCTAGCTATGTTTCAATCAGTAGGGTACCAACAGTATTGTTAAGTTCTTTCGCCGTTGGATCGAATTGAAAGAACGAATTATTCCTTCGACAAAGCTGATGAAAGAGACTTTTGTAATTATTTGATAGTAAATATTTAATACGGCAAAAGTCTTTGTTCTTTTCGATTATTTTTACTATTGAAAAGGAATCAGTGAAAGTTATCCGGATTCAGAAGAGAGCGCGAACTATTATCAATCCTCCGGGGCTTATGAGAACTTTTTTGTTCTGACACATACAATTAATATATAAGAGATAACACAGAGATACACGTTGCGATCTTCAGGAAAGATAGCTCTGGAAAACTTTCCCACGACAAAGAGTGAGTTTTCATAAATATGAAACGATTGTTTTGTAGGTACGGGATGTTCCACTGAGAAATTTTGTTTAATACAATATACTAATGTGTCTGATACGAATATACTCTCCCTATGAGATATACTAGGGTGTGGGTATGTAGATGTGGGTCTGTAGTGTGGGTGTTGATATTGGCGTAGATAAACAGGAGACACACCTATTCATACTCATCCCACCTACACCCACACGCTCTTACATGAGCATCTAGTTTTTAATTCTAAAATAAAAATAATGCCATAAAGCTGTTCCATTTTATTCTTAGAAAAAAAAATGCTTTCAAATGTTTTTTTATTAGTTAAGCGAACAGAGCGAACCCTTGATCATCATCCTCTTCTAATAAATAAGCTTGATGTTCGTATTCTCGACAAATGAGTTCCTTATCGACGGTTTCATCTTTAAACTTATTGTGCATATTTTCAGCTAGTCGAAGTACTAATGAAATGGTTCCTCTTTCATCGTCAAATTGTTCAACATCTTTAAGTAATGCAATTTTTTCAGTAACAAGATCCATAGCTTCTTTTCTTTTGCCATCTTTCACTAATTCAGCGACTTTTTTTATCCATATCAGCAGCCGTTTGAGTAGCACACATGATTTTTACACGAGGATCAATCTCCATAACGAGTGATTCATCTTCTACAAGTTTTAATGATAATGTATTTTTAATCACCGTAGGTTCACCAGTAGGATCATTTGGTCGAGTGTATCGTAATTCATATGTAAGTGTTTCGATTTCATTTTCACCAGCAACTGCTGTACCAGAAGTTGTGAATTCACAAAGAACTGATCGTCGATTATCGAAATAAAGTTCACCAAGACTTGCACCAGCAACAATATTTTTATCACCCCATATCTTTGTAACAACAGCTCCATTTTTACCACGTACAATAAGACGAGCTGCTGATCCACATATACCAAAGACATTTACAAGAACTTAGTAACTAATGATTTAATCACTTGAGCTGATTCAAGAAATACAAATCTTGATCCTCCAGCATCAGCAATACCCTTCATAATTTCAGTATCAAAATCAGCACCAATACCGAATGAATCAGTTATAATGCCTTTATTATTATATGCAGCGACAAGATTTGTTAATTCAGCTCGTGTTTTCATTCCAACATTAGCTTGTCCATCAGAAAAGAGAAACATACAACGTGAATATCCATTATAAACATATTTCTCGAGGAGACTAGCAGCTACTTCAATAGCACCAGACATGTTTGTTGAACCAGCAGTTTCAATTTTGTCTACAGTAGGGTGTGGGTGTGGGTGGGTGTGGGTGTCGGTGTGTGTCGGTGTGTGTGGGTGCGGGTGTGGGTGGGGTGTGGGTGTGGGTGTAGTTTGTGCTACAAATGCAGACACCCACACCCACACCCCATCCTTATTGTTATTACTAAGAATCTACAAATCCGCCATTATTATTTTCAATTCCGATCAAAGTCTTTCACTATTTCCAATTTCAAGAATCGAGCTTTTTCGATAACTTGGATAGAATTTTAAATAGACAAATAGGTACAATACACATCAATTTGGTTCACACTAAAATAAAATGTGCTGATGTATCTCAACGAGCTCCTCGTGTCGCATCTCTTGCGTTCTTCGCTAGCCAACATATAGCAACCAGCGGAGAACGCAAGAGATGCGACACATAAAAATTGCGATACGAGGAACTCGTTGCGACACATGCGACACATTTTATTTTAGTGTGTTCGATAACAGTTTAACTATTCTTTTGATTGTGCATTTTTTTGGTCATTATTTTCCTATTTCTATCATGAACTCTTTAATGTTGTTATTGCACTTCTTTATATTTCAAACAACAACTTTATTATGACTTGGAAATGCAAGTATAAATCGAAAAATTGAGGCTTAGTCGTGCAAAAAAGCACTTGTTTAAAGAAAACAGGACCAGACGCAATACAAAGTTTCAATCAGAAATGGAACTAAGACCAACAAAAATCTAGTAGATACTGAAACCAAAAGAATTTCATTGACACCAGAACTGAAACAAAAAAAAGATTTTGCAGACACCTAAGCCAGTGTGCACATATAATCTTTTAGCTTCGATACGATGTTAGCTTTATAATTTAGCAATATCAATTCGACGTATATATAAAGATAGTTAATGTCTGAGAGAGGTCAAAAACAGACTGAAGAAAGGATTGAGCCCTATGCTTCAATTTCTAGTTACGCCGCTATGAATAACGCTTACCAACAATCTTTTTAAAATTGTTTTGTTTATTTTTGATTGACGATACTTTCGACTTTTCCAGCTTCACAAACAATGCTTGTTAAATACGGAAATTTCATTTATTTATATAAGAACTTCCATTTTTTCCTATTATTATATTCGATTTCTAATATTAGCTTTTATACTAATGGCTTTGTCCATAACGGCCATATATCCAGATATTAAAATCAATGGATTAATCGAAGGATTTTATTGGTCGAGTTCGAACGCAGTTCAAGGTCAGGCCGATTTCTACTCGAAACAACAACGTGATAATTTGATTTCAGTGATGGGTGAAGGTCTAAATTATTATATTTTTTGTCCTCACGAAACTGGAAATGATGCATTTACAATGACTCTATGGAATGCACAGCAAGTTATAGAATGGTCTGATACTATTTCTAAGGCTTCGAATGTTTCAATTATTTTCGGCTTACGACCTCGATGGATTGAAGATGTTCAAACATCGTTGAAAAAAATTCAATCGAAATTAGAACAATTAGCTTCAGTTGGAATTCGTTACTATATTTTATGTTGGGATGATTCATCTGGTGCTGGTACGAATGCGCAAATGGAATTACAAAGAGATCTCATAAAAGCTCTTGTGAATCAAGTGACAAACATTGAGCTAATTGGTATTATTCCTCTACTAACATCGATTGGAGCAAACAACTTGCTATTTTGAATGAAATTCCAGCGAACATTCGATTTTTCGTTACTGAATCAGCAACTAATCCATCGTCCATTCAAACATCCGATATTCCTTCTTTAACGAATCGTCAATTCATTTTCTTTGACAATTGGATAGCAGTTGATTCAAATTCCCGAGTGACCATGACCTGGTCACGGAATCGTGATCCCAACATCTACCATGCTGCTGGAGCGATTTCTGATTCGGTGTTAAATCTAGCATTTCCACCAGAGAGAATAATTTATCAGATGTATGCCTTGAGACAAAGAGTCAATAATCACTATGCTAACATAAATGCAGATTTAGCAGCTGAATATTGGACAAAGTATCTGGTAGCAAATAATTTCTACGATTACAATTCCTTCAAACAACTAAAAACAAATTTGAAAGGATTGATCAACGATGAGCTCGAAACAAATAATAAGATTATTCGACGCTATCCGTTTCTTAAGAGAATGTTTACAAATTAACAAACTTCTATTTCTCACAAATGATGAATTCAATAAATAAAAACTTACTTTTACCACACTCGCTAAGGATCTGATTGTGATAGGTGAAGAGAAGAGTTATATCTTCACCGACACCTACATTCACCATCCTCAAATGTGGAAATGTTCTTCTTTTTCAATAGCATTTCCCATGGAAAAATAACAAAATGGAAAAATCTGATTTTAATCAAATACATATTGAAAAAACCGATTAAAATCAGAGTTTTTCCATCTTTTTTCCATGGTTACCATCGAATCAATTTTAATCTATTACTGTTTCTTGATGAATTTTAATCTATTCTTACTTGTTATTCGATTTTAATCTATTATTACTTCTTAATGTATTTTAATATATTATTACTTTCTCTAACAAAAATCCGTTTCCTGGAAAATCGAAACCCGTTCAGACACCCTTACATTTCCGACAATACCGGCTTCGACACGTGAAAAGTATTTTAGAATACCTTTTTCGTACTATCGCGAGCCTATTAGTATATTCAGAAACCATTAAGATATAATAGGAAACTAATATTGTCAAAAGACTGAGTTGGTGTCTGAAAGGATTTTCGGATATACCTCTTCATTTATCAGATATTTTCCAAAAATACTGAATTTTAAAATGGTATAAGGGGAAACCGAAATCCGCTTCCGAATGTTTGTTTGACCCCTGAAAGATTTCCGAAGTTTTGAAAATTCTCAAAACAAAATCCTTCGCCACAAAAACAACTACCAATTTTTGTTGTATTTCTTTTTTGATAGTGATAATATAAAAATCTATCGTCATTAGACGTATGTGTGTTCATTAACTTCAGTTGAACAATATCTTGCTCTACTTGTTCGTTTCTATTGTTTAATGAATCTTAAATTTCATCCATGTCGTACTGCTGTAAGATTTCTATATGTTTATTGTATGAATGATAAACAATAGCAGTCAAGTAATATTCGAAGATTCTCTAAAAAATACAACATTAAACTTCAAGATAAATCCTTCATCATCATCAAAGCCTCGATTTGAACAAACAGAAAATAATGAAGCATCATTTAACAATGATACTATCAATAATGATGGTGGTGTAACAGTTATGTATCAACTAAATGATAATAAAGAAATATCAAATTGGGTTCAAATGTTACCATCTCAACCAATTTCAATTGATCCACAAATAGGGCTGTCAAATTCCAATATAAAAAATCAAGAGTGTCTCAGTAAAACACCACTAGTTGACCAGAAAATTTTACTGAAAAATCAGGAGGAAAAACTAGTAGATTTGTATGGAACTGAAGCAACTATGTGACTGACTTCTCTCGGAAGAAACTGAAATTTTTGTTCAGATAACTGTGTTCATCTACTGTCAAGTTAGTGATGACAATATTAACCTCTAAGCGATACACAAGGAATAGAAAGAAAGATAATTTGCACTTTTTCCAAAAAATGAACAAGATGCCGTATTCGATAACCATGCTTTTTTAATTTTCACAAATAAAGTTTTGTTACTTTCATGCATGATCATGAAGCAGTTTTCGATTTGAACTTTTTTCAGTGAAATAGAATCAATATTTTTACCTGATGTGGTAAAGTTTGTGACAAAAAATTTCCTTCCATAAATCTCAGACTTCACTGTTCTTATCTTCTTGTAGCGCATGTAATCGATAAGTATACAGTCGGATCTTTCTTTTTATTCACATTTACACAATTCTTTTGCCATAGAATTTGTTTACGAAATTGATCATTTTAATTTTGCAGAACTCAAGTAGAAACAACATGTTCTCGTATGGATTGTTGTATCTATGAAATAGTGTGATAGTTGTTTTTTTTTTGTTTTATTGATTCAAGATGTCATGAAAACTCAGAACGACAAATCTCCTAAAAACCAGGAGAGAATCTAAAAAACCAGCTCCTGGTTCTAGGAGATTTTTTCACCAGGAGAAAAGTATAAAAGTCAGGAATCTCCTGGCTAAATCGAGAGATTTGACAGTCCTACCCACAAAGTACTAATAAAAGACAAGAAGATGAAATGTGTGGTCCTGAACAATCATCTAAAGAAAACACTGAACCAACTAAAAAAAGTTGTTCGAGCTACCCGTCGAAAACCACGATGAAATAAAAAACCAGGGACTAAAGCAAATAAAACTTATCGTGAACGCCCTCTCTATCTCTCCATTGAACAATGGCTTGTCTTCGCTACGATTATTATTTTTTTTTAAAAGTATTAAATGTTTTTCTCAGGCAAGTCATTTTCTTTTTAATTTCGATTCTCCATCAGACTGTATCTTTACCATTGTTTTCAGAAAAGTCATGCAGCTAAACTTATGTTTTCTATTGATTATCACTTTTTATTACCAAGCGTTCATTATCATATTTTTGATTTTTCTAATAAACGACTCATCTTTTCTCAAATAAAACTAAACTATTAAAGACGAATGCTTCTGATTAACAACAACAAAGTGACTTCCTATTCATCTTGTTGAAACATCAAACCTAATTTATGGATTACGAAAACGAAAAAACAACTTCGGTTTTTCCAGTAATCTTCATACTCTACAGATAAAAATTTTAGCTTCCATAAAAGAACGTGGAAAATAAATATTTTCGTTTTCCAGTTTCAGAAACATATTCGGCAACCATCCACGGTATCTAACACATTACATAAAGAAGATAAATATGCTGTTCATATGTACTTTAAATAGACACCATCAGTTTGTGAACGACCATTCAATTATTAGACACTATTATTTTGTTTATTTTACAATCACATCTACCTTATAGACATCGAAAGTTACATTTAAGAATTAAAAACTACTATTCAAAAACTACTATTAAATTTTCTTTTGTTTTAGATTCTTCAATTAGGTCTCATTAAAATGGTAACTTCCCAACCGGTCATTCGATGGCTTTTCGGCGCGTCGACTGAAGTTACCGATAGGCATCGTAGCTCCCGATTGAGTTCATGGAGGGGATGGTTGTGGGTCTGGGTGCAGGTGTGGGTGCGGGTGCGGGTGCGGGTATAAGTCTTCTTATCGCAAACATCCTTATGGACACACCCACACACATCAACAATCACACTTACATCCACGTCCACGCCCACACCCATATTAATAAGCTCCATCATTGAACGCTTTTCAGCACATCAATAGCTCTTGAACATTTATATGATGCACATTATCTTCACTCAAAAGCAAATAGTTCATTGGTGAAATTCCCTTATTCATCTTGGTTTTCTAGCGATCAAATAAATACTGAGGGTGTGGGTGTAGGTGTGTATGGGTGTGCATGTGGCTGCGTGTGTGAATGTCGGTGAATTAGGAGGAGTCAAAGATCAACATCCAGACTGACACCCATACCCACACCCATATTCACATCCACATCAACACCCAATTTTGTCATAAAAACAGTAAATGTTAACAAAACAGGTGAAATAGAAAAAAAACCCTGTGCTTGCTCATGACGCTCCTCAATATTTCAACTCATAAATAACGCATTTCATTGGTCGAAGAAACAGTTGACGATGCAATCACAAATCACTATCTACTTTTATACTTATTACTCTTATTACAGGATAGTGTAAATATATTTCCAGTTTTAGTTGCTTTACTTAACATCTAGCAAAATTTGTCTTCTATTAATAGATCGAATAGGGTGTGGATGTAAGTACCAGTGCGGATATGGGTGTGGTTTTTTCCTTGTCTGTCTACATTCATATCCGCACCCCAACTTCTCACTGTTCCAAGCTTCACATTTGCAGTGTGTATTCCGTACTCTTCTTTCTCTTTTGCACTTATTCGCTGTTTTCGTTCTTGATTTCCTATAGATTGTGATTCTTTTTCTTCTTTCAATTTCATTTCTTTTTTTAATGTGATATCTTTTGATCACATTGCCATCGCTTTGTTGTATTTGCTTTCTTTCCAATTAACTCTGGATTTGTGATGATTTATATACGAGCGTTTTTCTCTGATCTAGTTGGATCGATGTAGTATACTTGTTGTGTTCTCCTATGTAAGTGTTTTATGGCGTGTATGTTTTTATCGAAGAAAACCAAAGAAGGTTTACAAAGAATTTATATACTAATGATCACTCTACTGCAATTTTCTCTTTCCTCTTTTTCTACTTTTGTCCTCCAAAATTACCAGATGAACAGCGATGAAACCGTTGCAAATTATCTAAGTAACATAACCGTTGGATAATGGGAGCTACATAATCACGTCTATATAAAACTCATTGCACTTCTCTTAACCATGTCGCACTTTGTGTTAGTTTTATCTTTTTTAGTTTTTATTCGTTCGAACAGATGGAAACTCAAATCACATGATTCCCACCTTTTTCTCTTCACAGCCTTTTTTTTCGTTTTTTCCTTTTGATTTTCATTTGTTGACACATATATATATGATTCCCATCGCATTCGTCTTTCTCCTTGTATTTTCTTTTTCTTTTTTGTTTTGTTTCTTAATTTTTATTCATCGAATGCGATGGAAATTAAATTCGAGAAGATAAGATATAACTGTACTAACAGGTAACTAGGAACCAAACAGTTACTATCTACCGATCCGTTACTGGACAATCGATAACGAAAACTGTATCACTTATCGAGTGATTGGTTGTATTACGAATATCCCTAGATTTTCAGCAATCGTTGTCGTTTCTTTTTTTTGACTCCTATATGCTGCTATCAAATCAAATTATGAGAGAAGAGTTAATGTCGTCTTAACGTTCCATATTCAGTTACTCACTTAGCCTCCTATATATTTCAGATCTTATTGCAGTTAAAATTGATTTGCATCGTAAACCATCACAATGGAACCATTTCGCATGCTTTCACTTATGATCTTTGTTATTCTTCTTCCTTCCGCCGTTATTGCACAATATGGATTCTGTACGGCCACGAACGGTCGTCGTGGCGAATGTATCAGCACCAGCAAATGCAAAACCAACGGTGGATCATCGGATCCTGCCAATCTCTGTCCTGGTGACAACTCTATTCAAGTATAGATGTTTGACATTACTGTGCATCATTTCATTAATGTTTCCATTTCCATTATAGTGCTGTACCTATCGTACTTGCACGAACACTAAAGGTGTTGGCGGCATGTGCCAGCCGACTGCGACCTGTAATGGAAACTCTGATCCAGCCAATCTATGTCCAGGTCCCAACCATATACAGTGTTGTACTAGTAACGGTGGCGGAAGTAGTAATGGTAATCTTCCAGGTCTCGATGCAGTCCAGTCAAAATATGCTCGTATCATCGCCAAGACCGCCCGTGATTACGGACTTCCAATACGTGGCTGTGAGGTAGCAATTGTTACTGCCATTGTCGAATCCAACATTCGGGTTTATGCCAACTCAAAAGTTCCTGAATCGTATAAATATCCTCACGATGCTGTCGGTAAGTCACTATGAGAAATTATGTTGTCTTAGCTGATTGATTCTTCTACATATTAGGATCTGACCATGATAGCGTGGGTATCTTTCAGCAACGACCAATATATTGGGGAAGTGTGAAAGATTGCATGGATCCCAAAACCAGTGCTGGCAAGTTCTATGCAGCTCTCAAGGGAATCAGCGGATGGCAGAACATCAGTGTTGGCGCGGCAGCACAGAAGGTGCAGCGATCGGCTTTTCCTTTACGGTATGACCAGCAGGCGTCCAAGGCAAATGCTATTTGCCGTGCAGCATACTGAACATTCTGATAAGAGAAAATGATAGACACGGCTTACAACGATTTGAAAGACTTGCTTAAACTGAAATATTTCTATTTGAAGTAAATCATACTGCATCTTTCAGAATTTTATCAAGTACAGAACAAAAACAAAGTAAAAAGCAGGCGATAGTAGGCTAGGAACCTAACTTGACATTTACAAGAAGCGAGAAAGTGCAGATATTTCTTACAAGAATGACGTTAAAAGCGATGCCATTCGCTGATTATCTAGGGTATGAGTATGGATGTAGATAAAAATAAAGAGAAGAGGGTGTGTGAGCAAGGGTATGGATTTAGGATGTGGGTGTGAGTGTTGGATGTGGATGTGGGTGTGGTGTGGGTGTGAGTGGGGTGTGTGAGTGTGGGTGTGGGTTGGGCGTGTGTGGATCCCAGGCAGACAAAAAAAATAGAAAAACGTGTTTAAACGTGCAGAGCTTTTCGACCGTGTCTGGCTGCCAATCAAGGTTCCCGACCGTGTGTCAGTAACAACCAGTATAAGTGGACGTGAAAACGATCACTTTTTCGCGCTGAATAAAATTTAAGTATGTTCACTGCGCTAAGATATCATCATTTTCACATTCACTTCTTCTAAACATTAACGACT